ATGATTAGTCGTGACTCGTCAGGTCGACAGATAGTATACATCATGCATTAGATTAGTACGTAGCGCCTACATTCTTCAATCCAAACAAACTCACTTTTTAGCAATAAATCCCGATTGGTGTTCCGAAGGCCTAGCGAGTTAAACGAGTTCCTTTTTTTTTTCAAAGGCGGTCCTTTTTTTTCTTTCCCCGGACCGATGACTCGCTTGTTCAGTACTGCTAACTATTATAGGAGGATGCCGTCCCCTAAGGACTACCAGTAGTTTCGGTTGTTGAATCTCATGCAAGTTAGGTTGTGGTTGTATTGGCTGCAAGCGGAACGAAGGCGCTGTAGGTGTGTGTTGACCATGCGCTCTCGCGTCATGTAATGTCGTATGTATGTATGATAGAGGTGGTGTGGTGATTGACCTCAATGCTAATAGTTATCCCCAAGCCAAGGTTCAACGAATGAATGAAGCTATGATCCGGATAGAGATGATGGTCTTCCTCTGATGTCTCCAAGCCAAGCCGGCCAGGAGAGAATAGATAGGCGAAGCAGCCAATAGCAGTCTGTTCTCGCCTATCGATAGATAGCAGGTTGCTTCCAAGCTCAAACCATTTGAAACTGAATTGCGACTTTTTTCTTTTTATTGATAGAGTGGTATGTATTCTCCGCCCCTCTAAAATAAAGTAGAGGGAGAGAACTGGAAGAGAGAAAGAAAAAGAGCAAGGGATTTACAAGTCTAATGGGAGAAGAATGGCTGACACGTTGACTGCCTTCGAGACTCAAAAATCTAACCCGACGCGACCCCCCCGGGGCGGACCCCAACCGAAAGGCGCTAGACGGAGGCCAGCTGCTTTCTTTATCTCGCTTGCCCTTAGTCTAAAACCTTGCCGCGAGAGAGTTTTTCTCCAATGAGAATAAAAAAAGTTTTTGGGCAAGACAAGAAAGGAACTCGCCCTTCACCACCAAGAGATAAGAGCTGATTGCTGGCGATGACTTGGTGAAGGGAATCTATGAGAGAAGGTTCTCGAACTTCCAAAGACCCAATTTTTGGAATACACGTAGATCTGCAGATCCAGTGTTTGAAGTTATTCTAGTGTGTTTCGATTTAGGGATTTCACAGTTCAGACAGAGACGTTGTTGAGTATGTGGCTTGACTTACTCCAAGGTGACTCGACGTTTCGATTGAGCTTTGATACATTTAGTGTATCTCTTAGTTGGTGCGCTGCAACTGAGCCACTGCTCTTCAGGGCGCTTAGGTGGAAATTTCCTAAATAAAGTTTCTGGGGGGCAACTATGGGAACGAGACTAAGCCCCCCCTTACTCTAGCCTTCCTTCGGTACTTTTGTTAAGTTATGGCTTCTTTAGGGGAGATTTCGAGGTTACAAAGACGTGTTCTGTTCTTGATACTTCTGATGAGACGGTACGTGCCAAGTCTTCGGACTCATCGGAAGACGGGTCATCACCGGGTTCTGTTTGGCCTCCGGGATTGTCATATATGACAACCGATGTTGCTCGTGACACTGAAAATCCTTGGCTTTTTTTCCAACCTCGCCCTTGCTCTCGTTCGCCGAGATTCCGTTTCAAACAACTGAGCAAGAGGGGTGTCGGAATCGATTTCGGGGACCATTTTGCCCTTCTTTTTCCGCCTTACCCACCTTGTTAACTAGCGGAAACCTTCCAATCATCAGAAATTTCCTCTTTGGCGAGAAAGAAAAAGAAAGGCTACTTACTAGCTTTGCGCTAGGAGCTTGCGCGTGGGCCCAAGCTCTATAGGAAAGAAAATAGCATAGGCATCGCAGCGGCTACTCTTTTGCGTTAGGAGTTATGTTATTGTCGTTTAGTTTTTTATTTAGGAGTGAAAAGGAAGATCTTTATGAGATGAACGTAATCTATATCTCTCTGGTTAGGAACAATTCAATAGCTATAGCTTGCTTTAGGGGTCTTAACATCGAATCACACATAGCGAGCGGCTACTACTTTCTTTGCTGCTTCGCTTTAGGAACAATAAGGTTGCTGTAGCATAGCTTGCCCCGAAACTATGGCATTAATAGGCAGGGCTTAGCGGTACAGTAGGCAGGCTGTTGAATCCTTCGCAAATGTTGCAACTACTTAAGGCCATTCGAGCGAGTCTCCTCAACATCAGAATGGAACTAGCCCAGCTTTTCTATCTCCATCCCTTCCAGTACTGAGTGATTTATTGCAGCAAGTTATTACTGACTTGAGCATGAGCCAGGGTACAACTTATTCTGCTGTTCTGCTAATACTGTGCAGAAGGCGTCAAGTACTCCGCTTCGCCCCTTGTCTGTCAGTTCATCTTCTAACGTGTCGAGACTTGGCGCATATTATGTATGTGTTTAAAGCCCACTTGCCGACTCGGGCCATGGATACCTTTACTTGACCTTCTTTGAAAGATTCCGATGCTCCTTAACCCTTAATTCAGCTACTACCCTTATAGTACTAATTTCATTACCTACTTTATCCTTCGTAGTGATTTGAGACTTTCTAGTCGAGGCCAGACAAAACCAACCATTGCAGCTAGACCACTGCATTCCTATGTTTTACGGTCTATATCTTTAGCGATCGACGGAAGGCATCTCTGATCTACCGATTCACCACTGAACGGCTTTGGCTTTCTTCTTCTACTCGACCGATATAGTAAAAGATCTGTATGGTCTTGTTCGAATGCCCTTAATTTCACTGCGACTTTTTTCTATGAATTCCATCACTCAAAGCTTCTCCATTTGGTTCTTCAGATTGATTCTCAACCTTAGCATCCATCCGGATCGGATCCCTCTCCATTTCATTTGTTCACATTTTTCCACGGACTCTC